ATAGGTGAATTTCTTTTCCAATACCAAGGCTATAAAATTGCAGACCCTGGTGTTTTACTGAGGCCACGAGGCTTTCAATTATAAGGAACTTGTCAGAGACCTACTTTGAGATCCATTCAAGGGAATTTCGAGAGATTATGCAGTATTTACACAAGTAATATTGGCAGAAAGGTAGTGTGATGTTCTCTAGAGAAGCTCCTTATGAAGAAATATCTTCTCATATGCTTTGGTATCACTTGGAAGACTTGCAGGAATAACGACACCAGAATGCACTAGAATCTTGATATTTCACAAAAATACTTAGCATACAGACGGTGCTTTTCTATACGGAGCGCATTTAATTACCGGTCTCGTTGACAATCTGCAGACTACTAGCTGCTAGGTCGTTTCTGATAGACGTGTCGAGTTCACCAAAAAGCTTCTCGGGGCTGATTCCTTCAGTCATTTCTTATTTTAGTCCTCGGATAACCTGAATTTGCTGGATAGGTCACCTTTGTAATTTTGACTGAGAGAGCGCAACAAAAAGCCAGAAGACCAAGTTTAAAGGGAATTGCAAGTTATAATTACTATTTTTTTTTATGAAAAATGATTGGTCTAAGCAAGAAAAACCAGCATGGGCTAAAGATGATTGCAAAGACGAAGAAGAAAGTTGGAAACAACTTAGTCTTGTTGAAATTGTTGTTTGGAGCCGCTCTCGCATTGCTACATTCGTGTTTACAAGCAGATGCTGCCTGAATACCTGCTGGGAGGCGTTAGGTCGAACCAAAAGTGTCCATACTCCACTTGTTGAAATAAGGTGCGCAGATTCAACCCTGATGACTTTAGTCTAAATGCGTGCAGCTTTTTTTTTTATATTTTTTTTCATGCAGTCTTCCTTCCCAAGCAAAGCCATGTGTGGCCGTGGAGCACTTAATATCTAGGCACAGACTACATAATTGCATCTTCTCTGCCCATCCATTTCTGGTACACCATAGGCTTATTGCTCACGGTATACTACTCTGGGCTTGCATCTATGCGCTGAATTGTCTGTGGCTCTACCTCCCTGAAATTACTAATACTGCCACGCATTACAGAGCCGCTGCGGTAAATCTGATTTTATTCTTGGTGTTCTACGCAAAACAGCGTCATTTGCGAGCTAAGCTTGTACTTATCCATAACACAGACTGTGGATGTTCAAACCAGCACTCGTTTCATCGTTCGCCCTTTTGTTTCCCCCTCGCTCTCCTAGTGGATTCCTTTATCTGGTGCCTACTAGGAGCTTGAAATAGCCGCATTGCAGTGGCTACCAGTATATTCCACACACAATCGCCACTATACATGTCATGGATGCTGTTCACATCTACGGTATCGTTGTTGCGAGCCTTCTCCTTATGGCGAGCGTTCTGCCTCGCCTAGCAGCGATCATTCGACTCGTATCCGCCGTACTCATAAGGTTGTGGCGCATCACTGTGGACACAGGCGCCAAACACTTGGCTTTCTCATACGTTATCAAGCGCCATCGGTACATCGGCCCATGGACGAGACTGGATGTTCTCATATGCATTGTCTACTTTGCTACGAACGTCTTCTGTGTTACCTTCCGGGTGCCTTCATGGCCAGAAGCGGGCCGCCGGGCTGCAGCTATGTGTCTAGTAAACATGATTCCCCTCTATATCGGGCCGCATGTTGGCTACATGGCAGATGTCATTTTTGTACACAGGAGGATCTATATCCAGATCCATCGTTGGGCTGGAATTGCGACCCTTGCGACTGCCTTCTTCCATGCATGTGTTGCATTTGGCAGCGTCAAGAATCAGAATATATACTCGCTTATCGTACGATGGCGCCCATCTTTACCGATCCATATATGCTGACTCCAAGCAGGCTCCGATCGTATTTGCTGTACTGACTATCACATCCCTTCCTCCGATCAGAAAGTATTGGTATGAGCTATTTCTCCGCTTTCACCAGCTCTCAAGTATTGTTGGAGCTGTCAGCCTTTGGTGGCATTTCCCAACCACCAACACCTTCCTTTTCATCTGCCAAACGGTGTCCGCTATCACCTTCCTCACAGCTCTTGCCACCCACGTTGCGATGATACTTTACCGCAACGACGTCTACCATGGTGGCCCGACGGCGCGTATTACCGGCTCGGACGAGCTGTTGCAAATCGACCTCGAGCTAAGAAAGCCTCTGTGTATCCAACCAGGTCAATACATAAACCTCTGGATCCCCTCTCTCAGCGTCTGGTCGTTCGCTCAAAGCCATCCATTTATCATAACATCGTGGTCGGAGACGCCGGTACGCAATCTGCGCCTCGTCGTCGAGCCCCTCAATGGGCTTACCCAGAAGATGGCTGAGGCGGCAAAGCGGCCGTCGGAGTCGCGCACAGCGCTGTTTAGCGGACCCCATGGCAGAGATATTGCTCTAGAGAGCTACTCAAATGTTGTCATGGTTGCTACCGGGCTTGGTATATTTGTACAGCTGCCGTACCTGCAGAAGCTGGCTCATTGTTCTGACAAGCGGCGGATCCATGTGCTGTGGTATATGAGCGAAGAAGATGGAAAACAAACACCAGGAGTGGCATACGATATGGCTAAAGATACTATTAACAAGGCCCTAGAAAAAAATCATGTTTGTTGTGCTCTTGATACTCTTCGCGTGTTCCTTCGCTGACGTCTGCGGTAGGACATCCACCTGTCTTCCTACAGGCCTTTGCTAGATAAGGACGAAGAATATGGCGATCGAGTAAAGCTTTTTCATGGTTCACCTCCACTACACGATATCCTCCATCAAGAGGTTAAATCGAGGGCCGAAAAACAAGAAAAAATCGTAGTGTTGGGTGAGTAACCTAGCTCGGTAGTCTCTCGCAATTATTTTGCTAACAACTTGGTACGCTGAAGTGGCTGCCTGTAGTAGAATCCAAGATGAAGTGCGAACCATTTCCAAAGATCTTTTACACATGCTTGACTTAGTCGAAATAGGGTATTAGTCTTGTAGAGAGTTTCACTTTTCAATATACAATCTTCCAGGCCGTCAATAGTTAGAACAGGGTTGCCGGCTCAATATAGTTAATCTTAGTTGTTAAAAGAGCCCTGTTATCTAGTAATTGTTTATATTCTAGAACCGTGTGACTAGTATTTCTGAGTTCCTAAAAGAAATATCCTAGAAAAGTTAGATTCCTAGGATATAAGTCCTAGGAATACTCGTTTCCTATGAACATATTTCTAGGCTAACGGGGCTTCTAGGAATAACTAATTCTTAGGAATACAAAATTCCTAGGAAAACAAAGCTTTTAGGAAGACAAAATTCCTGGGAAGACAAAATTCCTGGGAAGACAAAATTCCTGGGAGAATAACGTTCATGGGAAGTATATGATCCTAGGAGTCTTTTCCTAAGAGATGAGAGAATCTAAGAGAAAAATACTGACATAATATAAATCCTAGAAAGGATACTCGAGGAATGCTGTATTCTTAGGAACTACTATTTCCTAGGAAATGACTCCTGGGAAATATTCATTTATGGAAATGTCGATGTTCCAAAATAAGAACTTCTTCCGAAACTGTTACGAATCTTCTTTCCGTCCGTAGGCCCACGGCTTCCAAGCAGCCATGTTCGAAAACAGCACTAGCCATCTGAGTTCCTCTCTTCCCTTATCCGCTTGCCTAAAAAAAGCCTGATTTCTTAGAATGCCCTGATCCAAAGCTAATTCAATCTTCTGTGTGTGAGGGTATTGGTAAACCTGGTCCATACCCTCAACTTTAAGGAATGGCTTCTCCATCATTCTTCTCACCAAGCTAACACCATCCGGATACACATGTTCGCAATTTTCTAAAGCTTTCTTCATCTCTTCACTACCATTTACTTTAATCTTAGACATTAGTTCAATGGCCACGCTGCTCAGCGCCTCGAGATATTGCGATCGATGCTCATCGTTGAAAACGGGCGTATGCACCCAGTCCACATGCCCCGCTGAGGTTAAAGTTAGTATTTTCTATCAAATAGCGGGCTGTAGGCCGATTGAGCTTACCGATTTTGACGTCTCCAGCTAACGTCACCCACGTGTTTTCCAGATTTTGCGGCGGGACATGGAGCATGTGGCGGGCTAGGAACTCTATGCCGTCATTGATCTGCATGAGTTACTACGGACCATACTCTTTTCATGGCTGCTCATCACTCACTTGCTTCATTATTGTCGCGATGTGGCATTCCCAAGGCCAGGCCACACAATTCACAAAGTCAGCGATAGACCCTTCGCAGAACTCCATAATCGCGAAGAAGCTGTTGGCCGAGACGGAGAAGCTGTACGGTTCAACAAAGTGCACAACATTCTGATGCCTGAAAGTGCAGATCAGATTGAGGAGTTCCTGCGCGCGGTCGTTATCTATCCTCTGTGCAATCGTAACTTTGCTCACAATAACCATGTCACGCGGTGAGCCCTTTCGTAGCGCAACAGCGACATCACTCCCTCTGCCCAGCGTGAAGTCGAAGACTCGCTCAAAACTCTGCCAGGGGGAAGAGAGGTGAGTTTCCCGCTTCTGATCTCGATCTTGAGGTGTGGTAGCTGTGGAACCATCTGTGTGTTCCTCCCGCGATGTGTTGAGGATGAACTCTTGCAAGCGGCCAGTGGGCCGCACCCCTCGGCCCCTCGGCCACCTTTTTCGAATGGCATCGGGACTTTCACCCTGGCGGGAGGCGGTGGGCTGTTTGACTGCTGTCTTCTTGGGATGCAAGGCAGCGTGGTGGCTAGGAACATGGTCCAAGCCTGGGAGGCGGTCTGGAAGCCGGGATACCCTGTGGTCGTCACCTTGGCTCATTATGTTAAGCAGAAGAGTGATTGGGGAGTGGGCCACAGTTGGAAGGGTCTTTTAGTGCTCGCAATAATGGCACAGGAGTCGCTGCGCTTAATTGAGGCTTACAGACCTCAGAAATATTCTTCAGAATAACTCGCGAATGGCCGTCAGAAGCTTTGACCTAGAGAAATATGGGGAATCACGCAAATCCACAGATTAGCATCAATCATGGACTTCGCAACCGGTCAGTCGGACGAGAATCTTGACGCAGAGAGGCGCCAGAAGTATAGAGGATCCGCCCGTATAAACCTAGAAAACTTAACATTCTGCTCTTCTAATGGCAGCAAGCTTGATGGAGAAGTCGTAAACGATCTCAAGGCGCGTTTCGAAAGCGATGAGTGCTTCCGGCTGGATAAGCGCAACCACATACCCGCGAAGATCGACCAAAAAGTTTTAGACAGGGCCCTACAGCTCTCGGGTGTCTCGGCGGATGCGCTGCAAGGCAACGGGTTGAATGGGTATCCGCGGTTGACATTCCCCCATGGCTGTCGACTCAGATGCCTGGATGGGCGCCATAGGTTGCAGGCCGCATCGGAGTTTTTCAGGTTCTCCAAGGACAGATGGTGGACTGTTGATCTATACCTCTCAGGTAACAACTACGCACTGTTCCTCTTGTTATCGGGTGCTAAGGATATTGTCCAGATATTAACTTCGAGTTGAAAACATACCTCAGCGAGCAGTATGTAGAGCAGAAAAAGCCAAGGGATGGTGAAATATATCTCATGATACAGAAGTACAATCGAAATCCGGATCGCGCCGATCTCAAGAATTGGTGGCTGCATATGTTGGTGCCCAGTAGGCGACTCAATATCCAGGCTATCAGTCGTCACCCCAAAATCGAAGCGGCGCTGAATTCTCTACTGGACATACCAGGGCTGTGGTATGGGACAGGCTTCAGACTTTCGACATGGCATAAGATTTTCTCCATGAAATGTGACGAGGTTGGGCTGCCATCACTCACAAATCAAGCCTACCCTTGCTGATCTGGGAACTTAGGACATTGTCGCCTACCTTGAGCATATCAAAGCGGTCTGGTCAAGTATCCTTGGCGAAGACCGCGAGAAGCTTCGAACCATCGATCAAGTTACCGTCGAGGCCTTGCAGCTGAAAGCCCCTGGTGCGTCAGAGTCCGACTTTGCCACACTTCAAGGTCAGCTTGCGAGTGGCCAGATATTTAGCGGTTTGTCTCAAACTGAGCGGGAGATGATATCACAGAGACTGGCAAAGGTAGAAGGCATAATTCCCTCCTTCGTTAGCTTCTTCGACGACCTCAACTACCACGGAGACGTGGTCCGCTGCATGCAAAGACTGGTGCCAAGATCGGTGAAGATTTCGACCGTCACCAACTTCTTTGACCACTTCGATGCACGCAGGCTATGCGAGCAGGAGTTAGCCATTCAAACATCCGAAGCTGTCTTCGAGATCAAGTCCGGTGACGAGATGTCCCAGTTCTTGGTCGGCTATCTACAGCTTTATACATACGCAGCCCGATTCTACGACAAAATCCCCGATCAGCCGACTAGGAGCAACATCAAAGTCCGAGCAGGGTCTACTGTAGATGCGGCAACACTACACCGATTTGCACAGTTGGCAGCGCGCATGGGCTTTGACTCGCCGCAGATATCGGCCTGCCTGCGTCTGACGGACGGCCCCGGGCTGGCTGCGGAAGCAGGCGCTCCTGGCTCTCCTGCGCTTGTGATTGGTGGCCCGGGAGAGCCGTTGAAAAGAAGGTCCGGGAAGCCGTTGAAACAAAAGTATCAGCTCGACAAGCATTTCTTCTTCCTGGGTCACTTGATTGGCCAATCTCGAGAGAGAGGGGAGGGAATCTCATCGTTCTTCGTTTTGAAGTCGAGATTTCATGCGTTTTTCTGGAAAAGCCTGCAATATGTCAGAAATCATGCGACCGGACCTTGGCAGGTGCCAGCCGATCATCAGGCGCGAAACGTTTGCCCTGGAACTAGTGTGTGGAACGATGTTAATGCTGCTCATTTCGATCGTGCAATGGGCCCAAGGCGGGTCGGAGTGGTAGACCCTGACGCGGACGACATACGAACAGCCAACGATGCCGAAAAGGAAGCTTCTGGGACAGGACAAAACTCAGGGATCAGTGCTTCGATTAGAGATGCGGCTTTGGTGGCTGATGCAGAGTGCGTCCAGGCATTCGACAAGAAGAGCGCAGAAGCGCGACGCGAAAGTAACAGAGAAGCCACGCATGATGAGCCAATGTTGGATGTAAATAGCACACTCCCGCGACAACGCTGCGAGGAAGTGCCGGACACGCGGCTTGATGGTGACCAAAATGCTCGCATTGAAGGCGACGAGAGCGGTGCTGAACGTTGTAGCGACGCAAATATAGAATGTCTGGGGGATTTGCATGCAAACTCTGAAAGTGCAAGTGGTCCAGCGATGCGACGCGGTGTGCCAGATCATCTTCTGCAACCTCCGGAGGATGCCGAACATGAGATCGGTGTGGGTGCGACGGAAGCGTCGTTGCTCCGAAATGGTCAAGGAGATGAGGATCGGCAAAACCAAACCGAGACAACACCGCCACCCAGGGTCCGGTCGATCGAGAATGAACCGATGTCTGAACCGTCGTCTCCTGTAGAATTCGAAGACCCTAGCAAAGAGCCGTATCGGAGCACGGATATTGCTCACGAAGCGCCGCTAGCCCCGTTTGCTCAGGCCATCAATGCGGCGTCAGATACCCCGATGCTGGACTTGTCAAAGCATGGAAGGAATAGTAGAGGCGCGATTGAGCAAGGTATGATGATCGGGGCTCCCGATTTGCGACATATCGGTTTTGGTGTCGATGGCGCTGCACAGCAGCGGCATGGCGCAGAGCAGCACGGGCCTGCTGAAAGGAACCCGGCTGAGGAATCCTCGCGATGCACCGCGCATGGCGGCCCGGAAACCCGGCATCATCACGTGGAAGGTCTTGTCTCACAACCTCCACCCGAGCAACAAACGGCACAGCTGCATGAGCATGAGAAAGAGAGTTTCGACGCACAAAACATCGTATCACCGTCATCTTCTCGATACAGCTCCCAGGACCCGGGACCGCCACCCGGCGACATCCAGTCTGTGTACTTGCAACCACAATCCGCACAGCCGATACAACAGCGAGAGTCTCTCGACGAGGACAATTGCAGGCACTCAGCACTCTGGAGATACATTGCACAGTCTCAGGAGGGACATAATGCTGACGCTCATGGGGACATGCATATACCAGCACCGCATGAGCAAGACGGATCTTGGTTCCAAGCTCCTGTCGAGAACAATCTTGGCTCAAAGGCTCGTTCACGGTTGCCGTCCCCGCAACACAGCAGACCAGCTTCGAAAATCCACCAGGGAGCTAGCAGCGGTCACGTGCCTATGTCATTAACTGCGCAACTCTCTCCGCCGAAGCGCGCTTCACCAGGTCCCAAGATTAGGCATGATTGTCACATCAAGTTCCTGATTCAGAGTGAGGATATGCAATCCTGGGTCTTGTTTGATGAAATACTGGACGACGAGAATGCGGAATCGCAGATGGAGCGATTCCTTCAAGAACAAATCAGCAGGGGAAGGTTCGCAATCATCAACGGCCGGGGAGGAATGCGCTCGGTAGGTCCACGGGACTGCTACAGAGCATTAAGAGAGTCGGCTACGGCTTCAGTGGTGCTCTTGGATGCTCGCAGCTTGAAAAATGTGGACGACCAACTTCGAAAACCGCTCGAGAGTGTTCAGAGGAAGAGGAAATCAATCATGGAATGGCCGACACGACAGCGACAAAAAATACATCGAGGGTAAGCAACTACGTTATATCTCACCTCAGCAAGTGGTGCGGGTTTCTTGAGGCTAGTCCGTGCGTGGCTATGCTGCGAATATATAAGTCACGTCTCATCAAGCAATGAGTACCGTATGCCCCGGCGACCACGGCAAAGACCTTATCACCTCAGAAACACGGATACTGCAGTGGTAGTCTACAATGAATGGCTCAAAGAGTCAGATGAAGGAAAACCTTCCCTTGAAGTATACGGAAGGATGCTTATCGTCCTCATCTCTACCTCCGAATCGACGAAACTCCAGTCCTTCTTTGGTCTCAACGAGGCTTATTATTGAAGAAAACGAAGGCGCAGATGGTGGTCTCAGCTCTGTAGGGTGAGCGTGTTTAATTCATTGCTCTCCTCTCTCGTCTCAAACAAAGAAGGAGCTAAAGGATACTGATGTTGCTCTAGCCCAATTCCTACGATAGCCTACCCTTCTCGCCAACCATCGCCAAAAAGCTCTCGTCCCAGAGTCCGGGCTCGGACCAATCAACCAGGTGACAAGTGGTGGGGCGTTGGTCGTATGCATGAACGCCCGTCGAACCTGGTGGCAACGCGGCCTCAGAACCCAGCCAATCTCACTGTCACTCATCGGAAATATCTGAATGAAGTCCATCAGAAAGGCGGAAAGTACCGGAAGAAGCATGAGAATAACAAGGAGGCGTCCGAGGAGATTTTTGTGATGAGTGACTAGTGCGCTTCAGTAGTTGCGCAAGAAAATTCCATAGTTCTGCAATGGATGTCTTGTTGAACAGGGTGAGATTAAAATATACCACTACTATGATGCGCACGCCGAACACTGCGTTATATACGTGATGATGCCTTTGCACTTTTAAAAATCGTAAGGTGACCTGATAAAGAAAACGTGTTCGTTCACAGAAATGCCAGAAACAGCATATTAGAAATTATTAATTAGGGTTAGCAGCGCCAGATGATAGTCATAATCGAGAGATCTGAAAGCATGCTATTAGTTTGATAATCCTCATACATAATCGGAATTCAGGCCTCGGCGATCGATGAATGATGTTGAAAATATTCTTTTCAAACCTGAACAGATTTGGAAAATGAACTTAGAGATATTAGGTCTCGTTTGATTTTGTGAGACGATTTGACCGACTTCCCCTATTTCCGTGTCAGAAGGCGCCACAGTAGATCGACTATAGCGCAAACTACAACGAGCCTGGATGTAGAGAGATATTACATGATTTTGAAGTGTGCTACGTCTCACGGAGGTTGACTGTTACGCTGGGACTCGGGAAGGGGGGTGAGGCAAGAACGTCGGGGAGGTTCTCAGCGTCAAGGGTTCACTACCGCTATCTGGGATGTCACTGGACACTGTGTGCAGAGGATAGCAGCCGTAGTCAGGCAGGGAAGGCAACAAGAGGGGTGCAAGGCAATGATTGGAATTGACCACGGAGGTCCTATCTACTGTAAATGAGTGTGCTATATATACAAGGAAACATTTGCCTTATGACCGTAATTCCTGACCGTTGTGTGGAGGTAGGTCATGACGGGTGGTCATGTTTATGAGGGTGTGGTCTTGGCGTCATGACCGTCAGTGGTGGTGCTGAGTAATGAGCGTGGTCACCGATCCTCGGCGCGGGGATTCGCTTGGCGCCGCGTTCCCAACTTCTGTCCTTCTGCAGGTGTTCCGTAACATTGACCCAACTGTAATGGTACGCAAAGAACAAAGACATGATCAATGTGCTCTATGAGCCTAATAACGTAGTATTCTTTGTATATTGATTGGGAGATCCAAGTCAGCCAGCTGTGACAAATCCAACTAAAAAAAGTCAATCGTTTTCTTATACTCGAACCCAAACAAAGTACCGATATTGAAAACGGGTTGATTGGCCATGCGTAATACTGAATTGCGAACAAAAACAACCGAGCCCAATCCAGTAACGAAATCTACTTTGTGACATTATTGCAAGACCGAACATCACCTGGCGCTCGCTGTAGCTTTCGCTTCTCTCTGGAAAGATCAGAAATCAGAGGTTCCGGCAAAGAAAGTGGAGAAATTGGCGCATCGACTGAATCCACACCTTGCAGTGTTGGGCTTCGGAGCCGGCTTTCCCAGGCCACTTGCACGGAGTAGCGGGACAGTTTGTCTAGAAGTGGGCTCTGTAACATCTGGAATGCCTCGGAGTCTACTTCGTCCCTGTGGAATAGTAGAGGGTGCCGTTGATGACGCTTAAGTCGAGGTGGCGACCTTGCAGGAGTCGTGGTTGGAGGAGTTGAAGGGCATGCAACAGTCGTCTTTGCCTGTGACATTATGGAGTCTGGAGAGTAGACCGTGTCTGAAGATGTGATAGAAATTTATATGTAGCGTCAAGTATGTCCGGTACATGCACTAAAGTCTTAATTATCGGGCCTTGGGGCGTTTGTGTGTAGATGAGAGATGGGGAAGGATTCGGATTGATGGTCTTGTAGCTCCCTCCCTGCGTGTTGGGCGTCCTTGCGTGCCGGAGCAAATGCGAGGTACTTTTATTTCACAGCAATCCAGAACCTGTGCACACGTGGATATAACTATACCTCTAAAATAGAATATACTCTATAAGCGCCGCTTAACGTTTCACACTTCTCTTGCTCAAAAAATATCCCAACAAAGCCGTCTATCGCCCATTTCCGGCAGGGTATATCTTCTTGGCGCGATCGAATTTCTACCACAGTAGTTACTAACATCAATTTCTTATTACTTTCGAAACTTATGGAAAAGACTCAATAGAGCCTTATATTACTCTACACGTACTAGAAAGTTGTCATCAACGATATATTTGGTGCGACGTCAAAGTTCGCTACGCAGGTCGATACATCCGGTCGGATTGATCAACTTATTCTGGTTAGCGTAAGATGACTAGGCGCACACTAATGCTAGTTACTGCGTAGCATACTGTTTGTGATCCACGCTATGTCTAGATTCTAGCCGACTATTGGATCATCTATCTCTAATATACCTTGATTTGAGCGCGTATCTTTCTAAGCGTCTTGGCGCGAAATGCTCCCTTGTCTGGTGAAACGCGGAATGCTAGACACCAAGGACTAACCTCCCTCCCTGCGTGGCGAAAAACCCACTGTGCCGAAACAACTTCAACTAATCAGCAAATTGAGTCTTCCCTCCAGCGTCTATAGAATTACCGTTAGCATGAGTTTATTCTTTAGCTATTCTTCTTCTAATTCCTACACTACAATACAAAAATTACGGCGATCTTTGCTGTGCTTTTGGTCGATCCTTTTGTAGCATAAAGAAGCCCTCGAACTTCATTCCCTCCTGCATCCCGAATGAAGGAAGCTCTTCGGATTTCGGAATAATATTACGGAACTCACACAAAAACAAGATATTTCTAAAAGCTTTTCTACACCTCAGTCCGTAATATCTAGCGTTCCGAGAGTTCCGCCGACCGGCAGAGCGATTCGTGCCAAGATATAGCTAGAGATGCTCGCTTACATTATACTGTACCAAAATCAAGCTAGCCGTATTTAATACCACGCTATACCATGATGAGACTCTAGTGTGGCGCAGGTTCTAGAAGTGTCCATGGGCTGCCACGTGGCCCCTTCCCATCTGCTTTGGCCACGCTACCCCGCTTCTCTTAGTAGCCTGCCTTATTCGCAGCCAGCTTTCAACCTACTCATACACTTAGCTATTTGAAACCTAAGTGCTTGTGAACATACCTTTGCCATAAATCTCATCGTCGTTTTCTCGCGCAAATGCGTCTCATAAAGCTTGGTGACGATGGTGAGCCTTGCCTGATCGAGCGAAGTGGGGATAGCGTTCCTGAATATGCCATCCTTTCGCATACGTGGGGTCCAGATGGGGATGAGGTCACTTATGAGGACCTAATGACGGGAGCCGGCAAACAAAAACCAGGCTACAACAAGATCCAATTCTGCGGAAACCAGGCCAAGATCGATGGTCTGCAATTCTTCTGGATAGACACCTGTTGCATCGACAAACGTAATTACACCGAGCTTTCAACAGCGATCAACTCTATGTTTCGCTGGTACCGCGATGCCACTCGGTGTTATGTGTATCTCTCAGATGTTCCCGTCCCTCAAGATCCAGCCTCTGTGGAAGAATCAGCTTTCCCGAACAGCCGATGGTTCAAGCGAGGCTGGACGCTTCAAGAACTTGTGGCGCCGCCGTCCGTTCAGTTCTTTTCTCGGCACAGCAAATGTCTGGGAAGTAAGAGGTCACGAGAGCAACAGATTCATCAAATAACTGGCATTGCGGTCGAAGCACTTCGAGGAAGCGCCTTGTCTCACTTCAGTACGGACGAGAGATTTTTATGGGCAGCAAAACGTCAGACAACAGTCGAAGAAGATGCGGCGTACTGTCTTCTCGGCATCTTCGACATCCAAATGCCGCTTATCTACGGAGAGGGACGACAAAAGGCATTGGATCGGCTTCGGAGGAAGATACGAAAGTCTCTAGGGGCACCGACAGCCCCAATCCAATCAGCATGGACCGTCCCATTCGAGAGGAACCCCCGTTTTACCGGTCGTAAACACCAGCTTGCTCAGCTGGAAGGCATGCTGTTCGCCAGGGACTATACCACGAAGACTGCTGTCGTGGGACTCGGCGGCGTAGGGAAGACACAACTTACGCTCGAGTTGCTCTTCAAAACAAAAGACAGACACCCGGATTGTTCCATCATATGGATACCGGCTACCAACAAGGAAAGTCTGCATCAAGGATACCTCGACGCGGCGCAGCAACTTGGCATACCCGGATGGGAGGACGACAAGGAGGATGTGAAAAGGCTGGTGCAGAGGCACCTGGGTAAAGAAAGCACGGGCCGGTGGCTGCTGGTATTCGATAACGCAGACGACATGGACATGTGGATCCCCAAGGTTAGATCTCAGCTGCAGGCTGAGGAAGGACCACGACCTTTGATCGACTGCCTTCCGAAGAGCAAACAAGGAGCCATCCTGTTCACAACGCGCGACAGGAGGCTCGCAGTCAAGCTCGCGCAACAGAATGTCGTAGAAGTTCCGGAAATGGGAGAAGACGCTGCAGCTCAGCTGTTAGAGAAGTGCCTAGTCGATCCAACGCTTGTCAAAAGCCCGCAGGACACAAGCGCCCTGCTTTCACAGCTCACTTGCCTCCCCCTTGCCATTGTTCAGGCAGCAGCTTACATTAACGAAAATGGAATAGCGATCGCAGACTATCTATCACTCCTGGTAGACCAGGAAGAGGAGGTTATTGACCTGCTCAGCGAGGAATTCGAAGACGACGGGAGATACCGAGATGTGAAGAACCCAGTAGCCACGACATGGCTGATTTCCTTCGAGCAGATCCGGCAGCGTGATCCGTTTGCAGCTGAATACCTATCGTTCATGGCCTGCGTGGAGCCAAAGGACATACCGCAGTCTCTTCTTCCGCCAGGGCCGACGCGGAAGAAGGAGGTCGAGGCTCTTGGGACGCTCAGTGCTTATTCTTTTATCACCAGACGGCCAACAGATATGGCCCTTGATCTCCATCGGCTGGTACATCTGGTAACCCGCAACTGGCTCCGCCAGGAAAAGAGGCTAAGCCAGTTGGCAGAAAAAGCTATTGTGCGATTGGAGGAGGTTTTCCCGAATGATAGCCATGAGAATAGAATTCTCTGGAGGACTTATCTGACACATGTTCGTTTCGTGTTAGAGTGTGATCTCATCGAAAAAAATGGAAAAAGCAGGATGGACCTCATGTGGCGATATGCAATGTGTCTTTACCAGGACGGCCGATGGGACGAGGCCGAGATTCCAATCACACAAGTTCTCAAAATGGAAGAGAGAGTGCTGGGAGCGGATCATCCTTCTACGCTGACCAGCATGGCTAATCTGGCGTCGACGTACCGGAATCAAGGTCGGTGGGATGCAGCGGAAGAGCTGTTTGTGCAAGTGATGGAGACGAGCAAGAAGAAGCTGGGAGCGGATCATCCAGACACGCTGACCAGCATGGCTAATCTGGCGTCGACGTACCGGAATCAAGGTCGGTGGGATGCAGCGGAAGAGCTGGAAGTGCAAGTGATGGAGACTCGCAAGAAGAAGCTGGGAGCGGATCATCCTTCTACGCTGACCAGCATGAACAATTTAGCCTTCACGTGGAAAGGTCAAGGAACAATCGCAAAAGCTACGAACCTTATGAGCGAGTGTGTACAGCGTCGGCAACGCGTTCTAGGAGTTAATCATCACCACTCCATCTCTTCTTCTAGAGTGCTAGCTGAATGGGAAGCGGAACAAGGAGGTTTATCAGCTCAACCTCAAGTGTAGCTAAAAGAGGATAGTACTCAGTGACCATGAATTAAGCCTCTACACAATTATTAGATTTAGACAATTTGTCTACTATTAATCAAGCAGTGTTCACCCGCTTACATTGAGGCATGCATTTCCGCAGCGCGTTGGTATCGGTCAGAGGTACTATCGATCAAGGCCGAGATGGAGATTCAGCGCAGGGTTCTATTTCCCCATTCAGGAATTTTTTTTAAGTAAAGGAGTTAACGTTAGATCGCATTAGCCACGAGTGTTCGAGCCACAGACTTGGTAGAAAAGCCAGTGTAAATTACTCAAGTATGAATACGGCGTAATGATGATTAGCGCAAAACCAGTCGTATCGCACTAACCAAGAATGTTTTATCGATCTCCTCGTAAGTACCGACCTACGTGGCGAATTTTAACGCTGCGCTAGCCACATCGTTGATATCAACTTTATAATACTTCTGTGGGATTATAAAGCTCCGGCGAATCTCTTCTATAAAGTTAGGAAATCACGAGAGATTGATGTCGGCGCTGCAGCGAAGAAATCCTGTCGCGCAAAGAAGATACACTCTACAGAAAGTAGGCGATAAACGGCCACGTTCGGACAAATTTTCAAGCAAGAAAGGTTACAGCTATCAAGTAGTACCTATAGATCAAAGTTTACTCAGAGCTATGAAAATTTCAATGTGTGCATAGACTTTATATCGCTGTGAAGTAGAAGTATCTCGTATTTGTTTCAGCACGCAGGGACGCCCGGCACACAGGGAGGGAGGTTAAGACCTGAAAAAAGCTTGAAATAATGTTCTTCCTCGGTGGAAATCCGAAGTTATTGCTCTGAAATTTAAAACGTGTTTCTAATATCCGTGATGTAGTAGAGAATGAATCTCGAGCGTTTCTCCCTACTATAAAAGTATCGACCAAGAGCACGACCAAGACCACTTGAATTTTTCTTATTATAACCTATAAAGTAGAGCAAAAGTGCCCTTTAGGCAGTCCTATACTGATAATAAACTTATAGGCTGTCGAGGGAAGACTTGCGTTGCTGATTAGGTGAAGTTGTTTTGGCACGGTGGGTTTTTCGCCACGTAGGGAGGGAGGTTAAAGAGGATACAAATTTTCATTCTTACGCTCTTTGTAGTCATTCTATCTTGTAATAAGGCACCAGTGGCTTAACTTTAGGCCGTTCCTCTGCTGGCTAAGTACTGCAGCAGAAAAAAAAGACTTATTAAGGCATGAATTGTGAAATGCCGTTGAAAACTAACATTATGCCGCGTTACAACGTCAAAAATAGTCAGAGGTGCATTATTCACCCTTCTATACCTCTACAGATAAAGTCCCAACTCCCCTTACGTCGCGCTTTTCGTGATCTTGAGTCGGTCTCTCGGTGCAGCACCACATCCTCGGTTGGCAGTTTGCAGTGAAGATCCTCATGTCCCCAATGAACTCTCTTTGCGCGCGACTCTGGAGTAGTTTTAGGCTTGTTTACAGACAAGGAATGCTCAGTAGCCAGTGTTGGTTGCCTCAAGTTCGCTTTTTCACGTGTAGGCGTAGCTGTCTTTGCCGGCGCATCCATACGTCCATCTCCCTGACTGTCGAGACCAGCAACTCTTCTCTTCGCATCCTGGGTCTCTTTTACGTCGAGAGGAATGAATGGATGACATATAGGAGTTTCTGGAAGATGGCTTTCATTCAGTAGCCACTCTGCTCTCAGCTACGTAGTTGAGGGATGAACGGAATCCAGCTTCTGGGATGACTTTTCATCGGAACAGTGCCTACCATGCTTTCTTTGGGAAGCTTGCGCAGTAAGACCGGGGTTGTAGCAATTTACAATATGAGTTGCAGGCCTTGGAGGTCGGGGCGGGGGACGGAGCGGGGATCGCGGAGGGATTGGTGGTGGGGTGCCGTGGTCGGTATTGCTTGATTCATCTCTCCTAAGCGTCAACATAGATGGCAAGCGCGGGCTGTCTTGACTCTAGTAATGCACTGTAGAGCGTCTCTGACAGGGATTTTTTTTTCTCTCGAATTAGAGAGTTATGTGGCTGGTACCTCAAGAAAACCTACAAAATGTATATTGATATGGCAAAACAGCTAGTTAGGTAGAGGTGGCAAAATTGTGTCGAGATGCCCCGCCGCTTCCAAGGCTCTTCGGAGTGCTCTACAATGTGGTGACTTAATGCTACATGAAAATAGTGGGCCCTGTATTTTCCTACGCTGAAGGCACCAGTAGAGATGGCGAATGCGATTACATAGAAGTTGGCGCATCGCCAGACTTAACAACTGCCTTGTGCAAAGGCATTTGGATTACGGAACACTTACATCGGCCTTCAAATTGCCCTGGGGAATGACGCTAGATATCCCCTATTACTCTACAATGCGCATTGACTAGAACAAGATGATCACTAAAACATGCGAGGAGGGAAGACACCGAACTGCTCAGCAAAGATGGAAAATAAAACAGCTGCTCTCTTTGGGCAGGATCTAGGCTTATGATCGCAAATAAATATCGGTATCGTCAGTTCATCACCAGTTCTAGCCGAACCAGTACGCACCACAAACACTAATGATCCACTAAAAATCTAACTGTCACCAACGATCGAGCTGAATTTGTCCGACGTTGACATCGCCACCACGAAGTCACATTACATATGAGCGTACGATGGAACCTATAGGATACTGTGTCTTGACCAAGGATTGGAAAGACTCAGTCAAAGTATATGTCAGTCATCACCACCATCTTCTGTTGTTACTTAATGTTATTGTTTGCCTTTCCAGCAGCGTGTTAAGCGCCGACATTTTGTAGGAAATGGAGAGCTAAAGAAGAGAAAGATCCTTGGAAGCAACACAGTATAAGCCTTCTTCTCCTGACTTCCTTGGCCGTTCCGTCTCTTCCCGTACTTACAAGGGCTGAGTAACAAGCGTTGAAAACCTCACCAGTACAAGACCTGGTCAGTTCCATCTCTTCATCTCTCCCCTGGCACCTATAATCTAATCCTTATTGATGCTGATAATATCTCTCAATAGCTTCTTGCGCGTCGAAATGTCCCAGGCTGAGCAATTCTTGTGTCTTGATAAACATCCGTTTCGTGGTCGTAGCCTACACGCCTCACACATAAATTCCGCCTCTCTGTCTCAACTTCTAAGACACTGGGCTGTAGTGTCGCAAGGCGCATTGGGATGAGGCCGGCGCCAATTGATTTACACGCCAGAGCCGCATTCACTTTGGTATCGTCAGGTGGGTCGATTAACGTAAATCAGTGCGTTCTTCATCAAAGACGGTCGTCTTGTTGATACTGTCCGCCTGAGCTATGCATCCCAGCCGATCTCAAAATTTCCAGCCTCATAGGGCTGGTTGAGTGGCTACCGTGTGCTTGCAATACAGCTTGTCATCTCCGTAATGAAAAGAGACCCGTACAATGGAAACCTTTTTGTACCGTGCTGGGTAGTTCCCATTCCTTTTCTCGGCTTCTGACCTCAGTGAGTGAGTATGCTACAGGGTTGTGTTTTCACTATGGCTGTCGTTGGCTGAGATGGAATATTCTTATCACAGCTGGGACAGAAACGAAAGAAAGACGTGACAGAACTTGAGCGGATCTTATGTTTTCGCTAAAGACATCGTAGCTTGATAAGACTGGCCTGATTCGACCACCTATTTTAGGAGATTTAGCGTTATTGTCCGCGCTGAACTGGCTGCATTACTTTCGCTAAATAGATAAGTGTGGCGAGCTACCGGCTGCATTTGCGTGCTCTCATTAAATTTGCCACTGCTTAGGGGTTTGGAAATGAACGGCTTCCAATAGGCTTGACAAGAATCTACCTCACTTAAATACTGGTCCGGACGCAAAACATACATGTAAGTCCTCTATTCAGCTACAGAACTATCTCACCAGCCAAAGTTTGTCTTGTTTATTTTCTTCGTTACCATGTCCGACGAGCCTGTCGATAAGCTTTTTGGCGAGGCTCGATGGCTTCTCTTCTTATGGGCAGCTACTGTGACCATTGCTACGCTCCATTCAACCTACTTCAGGTTAAGCCGTCGCATTCGTCAGCTTATTTGCCTTGACAAACCCATCCAGAGATACTTTTTCGAACCTAACAAGATCCATGCAGCTTTTAAGCGTCACCTACTCGACGCTCCGTGCTTTCGATACCGCCATTTTCAGACCTTAACAATTTCACAGAAGCTACCAATCGGGAACTTACCAGGCCGATGTGAGGCTATATACCTTTTTCTCCATTTCTCGGTAAATCTTCTGCTCCACGTCAGGTCAATCGACTGGAGCGATGAACGCACAGCTACTATTACCTTACGCAGCCGCTCGGGCACTTTGTCTACTCTGCATATCTTCGCCGTCGTTATGCTTGCAACTCGCCACAATCCACTTACGATGCTATTTAGAGTGCCACGCCGTGCAATTGGTGTTCTCCATCGCTGGTTTGGACGGATAGCAATCCTTGAAGCCGTTATCCACGCAGCTTCACACATTACCCTGCAGATTCGCACATGTACGTGAGATCCGCGTTGAAAGCCACTCAGCGGCTAACTGCATAGCTGGATTCAATTTCATCCTGGAATCCCTCCACGCAGATGTTTTTCTTCTCTCTGGAACTACTGTAGGAAGCAAAATCGAGCAGACGCAGATCGTGTTGTACATTCGCTGAAAAGAAACAGGGAACACTGGGTGCGATGCTGATTTCGATACAAACGGTTGCAGCGCTTCGATTTTTTGCTTACGAGATGTTTCTTCTGCTGCATATACTCCTGGTTACTGCCACGATTGCTGGAGCATACATACACTGCCGGGCTGGTGGGCTGGTCCAGCTACTGATCGTGAAGTGTACAATTCTGATATGGTTGATCGAGGTGAGCCGATTCTAGATGGAATTGCCAAAGTTGGAACACGTTCTAAATCCTAATTTCAAGCGAGCCCTCCGAGTTGGCAGTGTCTGTCTCCGCAGTGTGGGCTCTGGCGGTATCAGTGCGACAGTGGAAATTGATCGCGATGAAACATTGCGTATCAGACTTCATCATAAAAGACCATGGAGAGCTCAACCGGGACAGTATATTTATTTGATACTGCCCCGAATAAGTTTTGTCACATCTCACCCCTTCTCGATCGCGTGGACCCAGGAAGTTTATGGCGGGCAGGGAACGCGACAATCGTCGACTATAGACCTTCTTGTCCGTCGTCGCTCCGGTTTTACGAAGAAGTTGTTCAACGAAACAGTCTCGGAACCTGGACGGAAATTGACCACAGTAGCGTTGATTGAGGGCCCTTTCGGCTCTGAAGACCTATCCTCTTATGGAACAGTCGTCTTGTTTGCTGCCGGAATTGGCGTCACGCACCACCTGCAACAAATCTTGCATCTTACAAAATCATATGCGAACTACACCGCTGCAGTTAGACGTATAACGCTTGTGTGGGTAATTCGCTCCGCGGGAGCTTTTGAATGGATTCGTCAGTGGTTGAATGAAATCGTGGAGAGCCAAGACCCTCAAAGCGGGCTTCTTAGGATCATCCTCTTCGTTACAAAGCCAGATGCGGAGTTACCCCAAGCGTTCAACGAATATCCGGTGCACGTATACCTTGGCAAGCCCAATTTGCAAGGGCTTCTGGAACGACTCGTGTATGAAGATGGAGGCGCAGCGGCCGTGAGCGTATGTGGGCCGGGCAGCTTTGCAGATGACGTGTGCAAGGTCGTGAGATCACTGCAGCCAGTGTGGAATGTGGACTTGTATGTGCAAGGATTTTCTTAGTAATCTCCATATACGACGTCTTTATGTAGGCTTAGATATCAGGTGAAGATTATGTCCTTTAAGTGGTCACGAAGGCGTGCAGAAATTGGTTGTGACTAGAGTGATTGCGCAATGGTATATAGAAGCTCTCAAGGTCTTTCTTCGCTATCTGAGAACATTTAAACCGACACCTCCTTTGCTTTCGCGGCGACACTTACCAGACCTTGTAATACCAGGAAAGAGCTTAATCGGTATCCGCGCGTGTTTTAAGCATCTCAATTAATTATCCGCTAACTGGGTAGTCTTACACCCCGTCAAATGTCAAGTATTGCAAGTTTTGATCAGATAATCTATCCTTGGTTTTCCCTCCGAAACGCGGTCAACTATATTTAGCAGAACGGCGGAAAAGTCCAGCGCTTGTTGTCTGCAGTTGCCACTGCCATCAGAAAGCAAACAAAAAAAACCCGCTTTTTGTCCCGAGAGCGTCGTCCTTTGAGAGGCTAGAATTTATTGTGGTCCCATTGACTGAACCCGTAGCTATAGTGGCGCTCATTACATTTTTCATGGATTGAATCACGCTGTTAGAACTTTTCCGACAGTACCAAATAGAGTCTCTTCTTCTGCACTCAGGCCAGAAAATTTGAACCGTGAATCAATTGTCGCTACAAAAGGCATGACAACGTTTAAAAGTGATAACAGTTATACTATAATGGACTGAACGCTTTTTGTCTGATACGTACTGTTACCCAGGATACCAAGCAATGCTGTGTGCTGCCACTATCAAGTGATGGGAAAATTGGTGTGCCATTTTCGGCAGGGCCGAGCCACTTTAGCGGTGAAATAGACGTGGAAGTACCGAGTAAGATGTGAATATGAGTCACTGCCGCTTATTTTATTGATACTGAGCTATTGACTACACACAAATTGGTACTGCCCCTGCCATCCTGTACTTGTGGCGCTTTGATATGGGTGATGCTCAAGGGTATGAAGTTGGTGACTGAAAAAGTAAACAATAACGATAAGCAACAATTGCAAACGGTTTCGAGGGTTTACAGGAAGTTATGTGACGAATCGGCGGTGACTTCTCTCTCGCGGCTTTCACCCTAAGCATATGGCATGGGTGGATTAGCAAAGAAAAGCAGTATCCCAGTAACGCATTGTATTTTGATACTTCTATATACATGCAACAACTCATTGGTTGCGCTCTGCACCGCTCCTAGCCAGCTATAGTGCGACTGTTTATCCAAACCCGTTATATCTAGGAAGCCCTCCTTCATCTACAAACCGCATGAGCTCCTCTTCAACACGAAGTAAGTGTTCTATTACGCGTTTTCTAGCTACTAGAAAATTCTTCTCTTCCCACACTACAACATCTGATGGATTACCACCATTTGCCGCGGCCATATCAACCTGGCTCTTGAGAGTCTGAAAAATATGCTCCACCTTTTTGCAAAGACTGGAATATGCCTCAAGCGCTTCCCGGAAGTATATGATTTCCACATGGTGAGTACCAATCTGGCGAACGAGATCATATATTTGATTTTCGGTTGGCTTGTTTTCGTGCTTGGCTACTTGAAGATATGTGGGCGTAAGACCAAAGGCGAAAGTAGTCACCCCACGTGAAGCCAAATTGAAGTCGACATTTTGAGGGGCTGGGGGCTTCGCAACGGGGCGTTGTTTGTCTTTCTTTCGAAATACCATGTTGAGATTTGTTTCCAAATCGTGAGGGGCTTACGGTAGGTATCAAACTTTGCACTGAAAAAAAGTCTAGGGGGCGACTAGTCTAAGAAGTTAAATTGGCACAGGCCTCAAATAAACTCAAGGCCATCCAAAATTTCTGTTTCTAACTTAAGCAGCCCAGTCATGCGCTGGGCAACGAATATTTCGTGGGAATGGCGTTTTTAAAGGGGAGTGATGGTCAAATGACACTCATACCAAATTTTGACTTAACCACGAATACGTTTTACTTGAATAGCGCAGAGTAACAAGCATCGTCGATTAATTACATTAGTAGTAGTGTCTATGTAAGGGATGAAATGAATGTGAGGCATGGACTCTGTGATAAAACATCTCTGGAAGTTCCCCAAGGCATTGGCTTCTCACTACGCTACATGCTACTAAGTAAGCTAGTTACTTGGGTAGTGCATCAATGACAGTAGGGGTACGAGGCTCCTCCTTGACTTTTCCAGCTCTCCTGCTTCTTCGCTCAGAAACAGGTTTTCCCTGGGACTCAATGCGACTGTTCAGGCGTTCTAGCTGCCCAGACATCTCACGTATTTCGCTACAGCCCGCGCTCACCAGTTTCTCAAGGTCTCCGTTCCGTCGACGCAGCTGCGCGTTCTCCTCCAAGAGGTGGCAAAGTCTCCCGTCCGTGTCGTTCTCCTGTAGCAAATGAAGTGTGCTTCTTAGTGAGGTAAGCTCGAGCAACAGATCCGCCAGCCTCGGGAACGAAGGGTCGCCGGTGTCCGCTGTATAATTCGCCTCCTCTCCGTTAGCGATGGAAAGCTGCTGGATCAGGCTGTCCGCGAACTTTCCACACTCCTGAAGAGCGGAATGGGCGTTGGCAGACTGATTTTCAACCGCCAACATCCTCTCACCCTGCCAGCTCAGTTCCGCCCTAGCAGCCCCATGGCCTAGCCGTTCTTCCTGAAGCAGTGAATCCGTTTTGCAGTGCTCGTCACGTTCGTGCTCAAGCTGCTGATGTGTGGATGCATGTTCAGTGCGCTCCTGCTCCAACTGCTGCTGCAGGGATGCGAGGCTCTGGTAGCATATGCCCAGCTGGTGTTTTTGCTGTGAGTGCGAGGCTATGATCTGGTAGGCATAGTTTTGACAATAACTAAGAGCTCGTAGAAGATGCTCCGGCTGCGACGTGTTGTTGTTGTCTCTTAGGAAGCGACAGCCTTGTTCGACATGGTCGAGCCCATATGCGGTTGTCGTATTCATGGTTTGTGGTAAATTTGCCTTGGGATGGTAAGGGATTAGCGAAAAAAAAAGAAAGAGATTTTACAACATACAGTTGGCTCATTTGGATCGGAAGCCATGGTGCAATAGTCAATGCGATAGGCAGAGGTTTTGGCAGCGATGAAGATTCGGTGACTGGGAGCGGCTGGCTAAATACCCAACGGCTCAGCAGCACAAATGGTCAAGTCGGCGTCTCGGGGCCGGCACGGAAAAGGGTTATCTGGCCAAATAGGCTAGCTGGATCATCCGGTATTGACGAAATAATGGTCTGCGATTCATTCACACAGTAAAGTCAGAAAGAGGGGAAGAGTATTCTCCCATCTCAAGTACTGGAGTCATGGCGATGAAGGCGTATATGAAGTATGAACAGCAAAGCACCTCTCCATGCTGACTTGCTTACCAACCGACTCCCCATCCTTTAGCAAAGAGATATACATATTTCCTAGAGGTTGAGCATGTATTTCTGTCGGAACGATGAGCATAACATCGCGGAGAGATGGATTGGCCTTGTGTCGAGTGCATTCATTCGAGCTGTTATTGTTCGTTTCTTCAGACACCAGTCTTATTCCCCTGAGCCTCACTGCATTGAAGCACCATAACTACGTGATCCTAACTGCTTAATGTTCAGTGGCTTCAGCATTATAGTTACCTTGCCTCCGTCCATTCTCCGAGCATAACGAAATGTCTGCAAATATGCTCTCTAGTCATAATACCGCGGCCGCGTGGGGAGAAGAAAGCATCCGGCTGTCTCGCGTTCTGTGTCCTCGCTAACATGTTACCACCCTAGGGGGACCATGAACCACTTGGCACGCCCCTTGACAGATCATCTACAGTGTACATAGCGCGTATTGTCCACGCCGCCCCCCATGAGTCGTCTGCAAGAAATCCAGAAAGATCGCAGTGGTGTTGTCAGTGCAGAATGCGCCGATACCACGGCCGCTGTTTCGCTGCGGGGTTTCGCTGCGGGCCGTTGCCGAGCACGGACACTACTGGTTGTGAGGGCGCTCCCGAGTGGCGCATTCTAGTAGCTTCCGCATGCAGACGTTCGGCGGTAACCGTGACGCAGAACCGGAGCGCCTACTGCTCCCTGCTCTGTGCTCCAGGAACGCGCCGCGCTCGGTCAAAAGCGCCACGGCCGTTTCGGGTTAGGCCGGGACTCAACCGTGTCCTCGCAATTTAAGCTATGGTGCTCAGGGTCTTCGCAGGTACCCCGCCGACGGTGCCAGTGGTCGCCTCTATCTCCTTCCAACGGGCATGCCCTTGGTGCGACGTTTTCAGAGCTTTGCGACTGTCATCAGTCGTGTAAGTGAAGGGGCGGGCTGGGGCCGAACGGATGACGAGCGGAGGTCCGGTGATAGATTTGCTCCAACCCATGCACGTCACGATGAGGCTGGGAAGAGATGGTCATTTTGACGGACCCTCTATAGTAGAGGGAGCGAGAACCTGATGTGATAATGTTGCTTTGTTCTCAATTGCATACCTCTGCCTCTCTGTACAGTTATGAAACACCTGAATAATAAAACGGAAGAAAACATTCCAGAGCTTATATATATCGCTGCTGAGCTATGTGCATGTTCGTGTTTAGCGAGTAGAACGCGTACCCGAAGGTTAATCGAAAGGTTTAAACTCATGAATACTTGTGAAACAGTAGGAATACAACGCTATGAGTTCATTTGCGGGTACTTGAAACCATGCACATTGACAGAATACATACTTGAGTTGCTTGAGAATGAATCAATAATCCAAACGAAGCTGCCACCTTTCCTCACAGTTACCTGTGTAAATGGGATAGAGACGAAAGCGATAAAGGAATGTAAGACAAAGAAGTGGACGTCGCTGCCGCATGCCCGACGCCACCCGCACCACCACCGCTAGCACCGTTGGCGATTGAACGCATTTATCGTTGGCTACGCAACTTTTTTGCAGACCTCATATTAACCTCTTCAGATGCTTTTCTTTTCTGGGGAAGGCATTGAATTTCTGGTGGTGCACCCTTGCCAATGCTCTTTTCGACTGGACTGAGCGGCGTGTTCAAGTTCCGCTTCGGTCTGAGACGTGAGCTTCTCTTCGTTGTTTCGACTGGCATCTGATTAAATTTCGTGCAAACGCTTCTCGATGACTTGGAGCCTTGAGTCGTGACCTTGACCACAAACTTACCCCTTCTCCTCGACACGCACCCACAGGGCCTGCCATCACCTACGCTGTTGTCGACATGATCCGCGGACCCAAAAGGCGAATCCAATCCCTGCCTTTCGACGAACCAGCGCATCTTTCTCGACGGCTGAAACGCGCTAATACTCCACCTCCGCGTGTCATCAGACTGCACCGCAATCCCGACATCCTCATCGAGATCGCGAACTGCGAACCGCACTCTTCGTCTATACAGCCCGCAATCTTCGCAAATATCTAGCTCCTCGACCGGGGCGAGTAAATAATCTCTGTCTTTGACAAATGAAGCAGCGGGATATTCCTCCAGAAGTCGACGAACGACGGCGCGGGGATCGGGGCTGCGACATCGGATCGTCGCGCGTACCTCCCAGCTTCCGCCAACATATGTTGGAAGGGCATCGAGCTCGAGGAAGAATTGCGTACACAGCATGGCATGTACGATAGTCTGGATCTCGCAATCTGTTTGAGCTTGAGCGCGCGCCTTGTCGCGCAGCTCCGGTACGCGCTGCGCATCGTCGAGTGCCGGCAAGTCAGTGAGCGGCAGCGTAAGGCGGAACTTGTTGGACCGTTCCGCTTCCCCCTGCAGATGCCGCTTGAATGTCATTTCACTTTCTGAGGAGAACTCGATAGACTTGCAGATGCCATGCAGGAACGTGCGTGAGAGGCATGTTGGCAGCCAGGTCGATGGGCTCGGGGCGGTGGCATAGCCCGTGCCGGTGGAGACAACGAAGTCAGGTTCTTGTGCGGCAGGCCAGATGAGTCGTGCTTCCCATTTGGCAGCGTCGATGGGATTGTTGAACTCTCCGATGCCTCCGTCTTGGAGATGGCAGCTGAGGGCGGGGATGTATTTCGGCGGAAAGATGCTATGTGGCGGGGTTGGTAAGGTTTGTCAAACTTTCAAACAATTAACTTACGACGGAGCTGCCGAGGTAGCTTGAGCACTGTTCAGCGTCAGTTTTGGTATCTCCTCTTCTCTCATCAGGAAAGCACAAACGCGTCACATATCAACACTTCATCTTCGGGGTTCTCTGGTCGGACGTGTTTGTAACCTATGCGCATATCAGCAAGCGGTTGTTGATACAGGGTATACAGCATGGATGGAACAGACCGGGATCTTCTGCGCGTGGCCCGCCGTTGTAGTTAGTCAAAAGACAGAGGCGCCCATCGCTGGTGGATAGGCCTGTTACTGCAACTTTTATTCCCGACAAGCCTCCTTGTTCTGCGTCGAATAACCTTTGCCTCCGGCCGTACACGCGCTTGAGGCAGTCCTCTAGGACAGTCACATCGTATCGTCCGTTTGCCATGATGGCTTTGACGAACTCGCATAGCCAACTGCACATAGGGGCTTTGGAGAAACGCTGGGGCTGGAAAACACGTGTCGCCAGGGTATCGAATGAAGACAGACAAAAGTTGACATCGCGCCGTTTCAAGAACATGAGAAGTACGATCAAACCCCCTGTGCGTCCCTGTCAGCGAAGCTCTCAGTCAATGGAATGTTTGCCTGCTGTACCGGAGCTTGTCCCGACAGCAAAGTCGAAATCGTCCTGGATGGGATACGGGAGTCGCCTGGCTAGGCTTAACGCCCTAAAAAGTTCCAGTGACACAACGCCTCTCGCACCGCCGCCATCGAAAGTCGCAGTGCGGTAGCTAGCCGTCTTTGGCACCAGTCGGACGGTCAGCCGGGTGGGAGTCTGGCACAGAACGCAATGCGTCACGTCGTATGAGGCCTCTTTCCTAGGAGATGAGGCATAAAAGATACGTATGCAAGTTTCGCACAAGGCATGCTTGCAGCGTAGCACTCTTTCGGGCGCACACCGAAGGCAGCAGAGACATGTCGTGTTGCTTCTAAGGGGAGTCAGGTACTCGGTCATGGATGCCATGGTCTGGCGGTGCAGGGCGGCGGCGGTGGCTTGTGGCTTTGCCACGGCCTTGGCCAGCGTAACAAAGTGACGTTCCACCTGGGCCGTTAGCGCAGCGGTGCGGCATCCCCTTACCGCCTGAGCAGCCGCGTGGCGGAACAGCTTGCGGTAAACGACTCGGAACACGGCGTAGGGGTCAAAAACTGTATACACACGCACATAGTCAGGAGCCGCCGGCACGTACGAAGGTTTGGAACGTGAGATTGAGGGGAGATGGTCCTACAATGCATCCCCGGAGGGTAATGATCCAGCACCATCGCAGACGCTACATACTCCAAGGGAATTCTGCCGCCAGTACAGAGTTTCAGAAAAGCTTCCAGGTGGTGCAAGAAACCGGCGTGGTCGAGTCTGTTTGACACTCTAGCCAGGAAAATCGCGTTGAGCTCCTGCTCTGGATTCGCCGCCACACGCTCAAGCGCGCGCTCGAAGAGCGCCGCCACATGGACCGCCGAGAAAAAAACCCCTGCTTGCTTCCGATCACTACGCGATATGCTGAGCATCCCGAGTAGCGATGCGCGTAGCCCACTGTATAGCGCTGCTGGCGACAGCTGCTGTGCGTGGCGGAGCTCGACAACCTCGACCCCGGCGAAGACGGTGGACACATCGGCCAAGAGGTGCATACTTGCGACAGCTTGTGGGTGCCTGGTTACAATGAGGAGCCGCGGCTTGCCCATATGGCCCGCGGAGCCGATGGCGGCCCATTCAGTCACGCTTGCAGCTATGTCAGCAAGTCTTGGGAAGTCGTCAGCGAAAATGCAAAGCACGTTTACGAAAGAAAGCAGCAAGCGAGCGAAGATGCGCGTCGCGGTTTGTCGTTGCGTGAGGCCTTTGCTCCACGACATGTTGAGCTGCGTCATCTCATGGCAGCCGTGGCTTTCGCCAGCGGGCCGATCGATGTCTATTTCGCCAAACAGGATCGGATGCTCCGAATCGTGGGACTTGTTGTCGGCTCTTAGGTTGACTAGGCCTTGGCTACGATGCCTGGTAATGTTGTTTTCTGGGTATAGCTCTCTTAAGGCAGCGTTTTTGGTGGCTCTACCCATGAACAGGACCAGAGATGGGAATTGACCCTTTGCATCTGGCATGCCACTGACTATCCTCTTCAAACGGTTACTAGAGAGTAGGGACCAGTTGTGGTCCGTCTCGTGCAACTGCAGCCATTCAAGGTGATTACAAGCGACCATTTCTGCCGCAGTCAAGGTGAAATGAATGATGAATCAAAGAAAAGATGAACGCTACCATGCTCGTATATATCCACATGGCTATGGAAGTCAGTAAGTGGAGGCCTGATAACTGTGAGGTATCCAAGCAGAAAATTTAGGGTCACGTCAAAAATGAATTCAGACCTACTGGAGGGTAGCATCATCTAAGAAGCGAAGTCGGTACGGCCAGTTTTCGTGCGGCACCCCTTTGGCTTTGATTCTGCAAAAGCCATTACCGGGCCTTAACGTAAAAACAGAAATTAACGTAGCAAGAGGATATTATAGGTGAGTTAGAAGAAGAAGAGGAAAACTCGAACTACACAGTTGTTCGCATTATCGCGGTAAGACGCTGCTCGTGTGATTGGGCTTCTGGAAAAGTCTAGATGAATCCCTCAATTAATCCACCTCCGATTTTACGATAGTCTTACTAATTAGTTCATTTGATAGCTAAGAAAGCTTTGGTTGTAGTATTGGTAAACTACTGCCCACCTCTGTCTGCATTGGTCACCTGGCTACCCTCACCGGATGCGTAAACTAACGTGGTTGTCCATATTATCGCCAAGACGGATCATGCTAGTCTGACTGTAGTATTGTTCCCTAATAGTTACCTGCGTTTGTGAGGATGGAGAGGCGAGAGAAGCATCCGTAGGGAAAGCAGAATTGACAGTATTTAGATAAGCTTCCAAAGCGAAGAATAAGCGAGACAAAGCTTGGAGGCAAATCATAGGTGCTGTTTGACAATAATGTACGGTATCAAATGAAGAATCAATGAAAGTTACTTTTCATACAACGCAAATCGTTTTGTATAGCGGCAAGTTGCTCCACTAACTGGACAACTTGCTATAAATTCTGCCTACAGATTCAAGTCATAATTGTCAGATTTGCTTTAAATACTGAAAAAGGTCATTTGAATGCTTAGGTACCGAGGCATATTCCTTATGTATCCTTGTAGATAGGGTATGTCGTGGGCTCTAAAAGAAACTTCGCTTCGTATCTGGAACGTCGGTCCCTCACAAGAACAAGTGTTTGGTTTCCCATCTGAAAGTAGGCTCTTCATTATCCTCTACTTCAAGCAGAGATGCCTCGAAATGGCTACTATCATCTCTTTCTGCACCTCAATCATTTTGCACCTACCACCATTGCTATAATGATGTCTCGACCTTGACCTCTCGTCCTAAGAAGACACAGAGTTACTAAGATCGTGAGAAAAGCTGAGTAAACCCATTCGAGTATAGCTGCATATACTCTATGAGAGGGAATAACGACTATTTATGATTGTTCCTCGACCTGAAAATTCTGCAGAAGTGGTGCCATCACTCGGATCCTCGTCCTATGCATTTTCAGAGTCGAGTGGATATCATTATCACGTAAACTGTTTTGAATCAATCAGATGCTCGCCGCGCATGGGAACACTTGACTGTTGCATTGCACCTCTGTGGAGAGGGAGAGACAAGGTAGTTGCAAGAGTACATAGGAATAAAGTGCGCAGCGACACTGTGTTCGCTACGGCTATCAGCATGCCGCTGAAAATAAGTTCAGAGGATAGCAGCCGTAGTCAGACAGAGAAGGTATAACGTTACCCGGTCGAGATGGATGAGGCAACTCGATAACTGTCATAGATGTGATAGAGACGACTGGCTGGTAGTTGCTGCGAATGTATTGTAATTTAGTGTCTGGATGCAACGGGAGCATAGAAGACTTACTATCTATGGATATATCTGATAATATCTTGCTGCTCCAGAAAGTCTGATCGTGCGCGAGGAGTACGTCGTGAGACTCGCCGGTAAACTGCTTGAAGACTGCTGATTTCACATACGGTGGCTTTTGCATTCATTTTGGTCTATAGCAAGTGCTTCTGCTCACTGAAAGTATCGAGGAGCAAACCAGGAAGTGAAAATGACAGCTCCGATTGGGCGGCTTTCAGTGTGCCCACTGATATAGCGTTGCGCGCTCAACTGCATAGTGCAGAGCACGGGTCGTCGAGGGCCATCACTGGTGTCATCAAAGTAAAAATGATGTATAGACCTGTGTCGCCGTAGAAACCTACGTTTGAAGAATTCTACGTCGGTACCATCCACCAACTGAGGAGATCCCAACCAACTGTGCGGCGTAATAGCCGTGTGGGCCACGCTTACCAAACGGCATCGTTCGATAAGGCTCCACCTCGCAAAAGTGGCAAGAAAGTTACGTTGCTTACTGTACATTCTGCTCAAAAAGGTTTGTATAGTCATCGTTACTTGCTGTCAATATGGGAAAAAAACTACTCACTAACGTTAGTAGTATATGAATCAAAGAATTTCCGGAGTTTGAAGGCTCTCACCCACGGAAGGTACGGAGGTCTCGCCCTAGAAGAACTCAAGAACTGCTTTGTTGCTCCTAAAAGCACCTGTATTACCTTCATAGTCGAGCATAGGATAACCGATTCTCTTGCCGTAGGAAAACGTGATTCATTCACGACTACGAACGCTACGAGGATTGGGCTCCTGACTTACTGCATATAACCGAGTGATTTGACACCCACAAAACATATTCTATTGTGTAAGAATCTACAGAAAAACAACCTAGAGACTCGAGACTGACTCCAGTAACGCAAGCTTCTGCCTCGTGGCTGACGGCTGGCGACTGGCGGATAAAGGGTTAACCTCCCCCACGGTGTGGCGAAAAGCCCTGTGTGCCGAAAAAAGACCGGGGTACTTCGAGTTTGCAGCAACTGCGTAGGCGTACATACGTAGAAATCCTTATAAAACTATGCTATGCATATTTTAAAGCCATTTAAGCTACTTGCAAAATGTTTCGAATTCAATATTACACAGGCGTTGCTGTTCTCTTGCCTGATTTCTACAGGATGAGTCTTGATGCCGCGAACGATATTGCTCTACTATAGCACCACATATGCTTTCTTCTTTTAGAAAATCTAGTTGAAGATACGCACGTACTCTCCAACGTTAGACCACGCACTGGAATACTATTACCAATAGGATGCGTGGTGTAGCAGGAGAATCCGCCACGCAGGGCGGTACTTGTCGACGCAGCTTTGGCTAGTCTCTGCTTGGTGTAATGTATTGAACAGTAGTTATGAAGCATACCGGCTGTGGAGAATGACTATCTTATCGGATAACGGTGGTCTGAATCGTGCGCTTCAAGCGAGCGGGACCCAAACTCGGCAATTGCGATGATGAGAAGATGAGCTGACCTAGCTTTACATACTTTACAGCTAGCCGTAATTGGCCAAAGCTCCGCTGACAGGTACCAACCTGCGTGGCGAATTCGCCTCCTACACCACAAATCCTATTATTAGTAAAGTTTTAGCATTATAAAGTAGGTTTCACGATAGACTGATATCCTACATAAATTTTCTAGACAAAAAAAAAGAGTGATGGCGATGTTGTAGAAGGGAGTTATCGTTTGTGGCCTCAGCGTGTACTTTGCAGAAACCCCGGCAAGAGGACAGCCGCTCTTGTGCAATTAGTATATTGGAGAATTGCAAGTAATCAGAAGTATCTATAAAGCATATTAAAGGCAGTTTTAAAAGCGTATAAGCATAGTCGCATCTTCCAGATTGCCTAAAGCTCAAAGTACCTCGGTCATTTTTCGGTACGTAGGGCTTTTCGTCACACCGGGGGGAGGTTAATTATTCAAAAGATCGAACCAGCTGCGGAAAATGCACGGCAGCTTCACTTGCATATACCCCTCTATGAGCGCCATCAAAGAAAGGACTTGGAACATAATTACGTTCTCTTTCGGTAATAAGCTTGCGTTGGGGTCTGCTGTGGAGAAGGACGACATGAAGTTGTTTTGGCCTTTTCTTTTCCCTCTTCTTGCGATATAAGCAGGCGCATTCAATGTTCATATTTGAGAAGGACCACTATTCGACTATTGATTAGAAATTATAGATTCTCTCAAAATTCAACTGTTTAAACGGAAGGAGAACGAATCTACAGAGCCGAGTTTGAACGAAGCAGTTTGGAGCACAGACCCGAAAGTAAATCTGACACCTTCGCTGAAGAGATCCTTCTGTGCTGGATCAATTACCATAAGCTGTGGTGATTATTCCACTACTTAAACGGCATTTAGAACAAAGAATTGAAATGATACTAGTGAAGAAATACCTCAGCAGCTCAGTATTTGTTATTCTCTTCTTGGAGAGATCCGTTCAAGGAACTACCACTACAGCCGCCTACTGACGCTGATAAATTTACGAAACATCCGGAAGCATCATGTCGGGTGTCTTCTCCAGAAACGCCGAGTTCCGTGCTAAGATCCAAAATTTGGGGACAAGGCTCCTCCCAATCTACCGCATGCCTGCTGGACCACCACATCCGCAATTTCCTAAAACTATCTTACAATTCTGGCTCCTGCATGAGTCGGACCTTGATGAGATCGCTCTGTACTATTCCCAAGCGAAACCAGATGAATACACATCGATGTACCCTCACCCTATGCTCTGGGATGACCAGGGTTTTTCCCGCATGAGCACAACCGAGCGCATATGCGCAAAGCGGAAGGAGCTGGCTTTGTTCATCGGACTCCGTGTGATTGTGGATGAACAACACAAAGAGACGATGAATTGGTATAAGCAATGTCAACATCGTTGGGGCCTTTGATTTTACACACTCAACACCGTGACAATGGAAGGGAGGCAGAGAGTTATGTAAAGTGCTGTGAATCCAATAAGACTTGCCTTAATTTTCCATAGAATAGGCAATATACGGCGGTCTGTAGAACCATCACAACGTTCAACATGGAGACCAGGGCAATGATCATAGAAGTTAGGCTTTCCTGCACCATCTTATCTAATTTGTTCTCCTGCATGCCTTTACAGAGAAATATATACGGGGGAAGGCGTGTCTGCGTCGATGTGGTACCCATACGTTCCGCCCATGAGATATGAATTATCGATGCCAGCAGTCACGAGATCATGTGGGCCTCTCGCTAGAAATTTAAAAGACACGAAGTCCAAAGCGGCACCCTCAGCTCCACTTTGTCAACTATCCCCATGAAAAGCAAGAAAGTATCACAAGAGCGCTTCCGAAAGCGCAAGAACAACTTCATTCGTAGGGCGCACGAGATTTCTTGTCAATCTGATGCAGAAATATACGTTGTTATTCTCAAGAACGGCGTCTTATATTCCTACTCCTCATCGAACATGATGGATTGGCCGCCTCTACCGGACGAATCGGTACGAAATCTCTGCCCTTGCTAGCTTGGTATTGTATCTGACAATGGCTAGATGGCCAAGCTCAAGCATGTACGAAGGACTCCAGAGGACTTTGTGAAGCAGGTAGAACAGAAGCCTGCCAGAAATATGACGGCTGGAAGAAGCAGAAACTTCATTATCCCGAATCCCCCAGTACCAAGCTATCCATTGCGGTTCTCGCAGCCTTTTGCGAACTCTGGGGAGTTAGACATGGATATTTGGCTAGGTGGAAAGTCAGAAGCTTAATCAATGGAATGGTTGTGATTAATTATGGGTTGAGCAAGCAAAAGATCACCGCATAGGCCGACGAGTGGAAATTGAGTTCTAAAGGACGGTTATATTGTCGGTTTTGTTTCAAAAGGATGGCAAAACTGTTAAGTAATATGTGCACCTCAAGGCAGAAAAGCGAGGAAAATGCTCACCCATATGTTAAAAACGGAGCAGGAGCAGTCTTAGATCGGAAGTAACTTCAATCTTTCCCTACCAGCACTTCCATACTATATACGATATAACATCCATCATATGATATAAAACAGACCGTTTGAAGTGCCAGAAAGCTTGTTCCACGGCCATGACGAGCGAACGTTTCGAGCAAAGCCTCTGTCCCGAGCCTCTTCTAGATGCAAGATCTATTGGCGAGGAAGGTGGATGTATATCTCTCTGGTAGCATACTCGGAGATGAGAAATGCTTAGGAGATCACAGACATCTCTGCCCGCGTTTGCTTCTCAGCCGTAGGCTCTACCGAGGACCTTAGCTGCTGTCTTCCGTGTCCTGTGACTGATTGGGTATATACTGATTGTAAAGCCACAGCTTCATCTTTGCAAAGATAGCGTTACTGACCTAGCATGCTAGCATTCAGACAGCAATACCGAGCAGCAGAAAGTTTGTGTTTCGTCGGCTTTTTGCTGTGCATTTTCTTACTACTGTCCTGGCTTTTGCTACCTAGGAAGGAGAGCAAACGCGATTATCTCAACGTCTGTCTCGTCATTAGTATCACAGCTCTTGCGGTACTTCGAATGCCCTGAAAACTTTTCTAGATGAAGCTAACCGTCTTTACTTTTCACTGAAGCTCGGTTTCGTCCTCCCTGTCGTAACACGACCAAAAGAATGCTTCGACGCAATCACTCCTCATGACATGAAAACTAGTCTTGCATGCGCATGGTCCGGCACATTCATAGTCTTCGGTGGCCTTGCAGCTGGAACATGGGGTACGCGCTCTCGATGCATAGTACTCCAGCACTATCTTCATGCTCACACCTTGCAGCCTTTTTGCGATCGCTGGCTTTGCATCTTCTTGTGTGCTGGGATGTACATGTCGGCCATTGCTTCTTCATTTTCGCGCAGGCTATCGGATGGAGCGCCATTATCATCCTGTCAAGTATCACGCTGGGTGTTACCGGCGTCTCGTTCCGCTTCGGAGATGCGTGTCATGTCAACGTAAATGGGTCAATTCCTAGCTTCTGGGGGCCGCTGATAATCGTTTCTGGATCTTCTGCGCTTCTCCAGATTATAACATTCGCTTTTGGGTTAAATTTATACATACTGAAGCGGGCTTGGTGGACAGAGGGACATTGCCAGTAAGTGACTTGAAATCTCGCTCAGCTTGAGTTGACACACACATTCACAGTACATCGACGTCTGCAAGGCTGAAGCAGGTTTGGAACCTTGTGAGGCTGCAGTGGCGTGCCATAACTGTCATTATCCTGATTTTGATCGACGTCCTTTTCTTTTGCTTCGTGTTCTTGCGTATCGACAGCAACGAAAAGCAGATTCGCACCCATGCCGAGAGAGCGCGTGCCTGGGTTATCTGTTTGACATCGCATCTTGGGGATAAAGATGCCTGTGTTGCCCATGCGCAAGATCTGCTCATTGAACAAAACACCGCAGCGGCGCTCCTATTTTTATTAGCAGTAAGGCCTGGCATATATAAAGAGCAAGAAGTCCTGCTAACATTGTGTCAGGTTTCTGGCATCCAATGCTTCTTTGTCTTTATTCAGAAGTCTATTATACACGCCTGGGTTAACCTCGTGCGAAGAGGACTTCGCTGTGAGAAACCTTCTATAACACATGCTGATTCTGATGACGCATTGCATGTGACAGAAGTGTCCAGCGCAACGTACGGTGTGATCACACGCGCAATGACTGTTGAGGTACAGAGAGATGGCAGGCGGAGCATGGTGGTTAACGCTGGGAGTGGAAAGGCTGAGCAAGCTGTCGTGCGCTCAGGGGGCTAGGCTGCAGTTCGCACATGAAGTAATCTAGTGAAATACAAAAAATATCTATTCAGAACCACTCTTTCGAACTAAAAGTCAATTTTCTTCTTCCGCCAGCGCGGTCCATCCCTGAGTTGCATTCATCTGTAACTCCCAGTCCATTGCTTGCGCGGACCAAGGCCAAACACAATCATCGTCCCGGCTACGCTGCCGCCAATAAGTCGCGTGTTTGGAACCAAAACGCTCCTCTCCTAGCTCTGAACTTCTCAAGAAAGCATTGCTAATTGCTTCGCCGTGTTCTGAGTGGCAGGGCATGCAGCCTTCGCAGTAAGGCCACGACTGCAGAAATCGATTGCAATCCATCCATACACCTCCGATGTGATGGTCTTCTGGCATCTCCGTGGTTTCAGCGCCTTGTTCAGACCGACAGGACAAGCTTTTTACCTCGTATGCGGCATCATAGTTTCCGTTGCTCGGCGTGGGGGAGCAGAAGGCAGATTGACCGGGAATTTCATAGCTCGGAATATCCTGCTGAGTGGCATCCTCACCGCCAACGGATGCCAGTATGTCTTCGAAGTTGTCCTTCTGAGCACCCATGTCAATAGCGTAGGGAGAAAGGAAGTGTGGTATATCCTCCACTGCATGCTGTGATCTTGTATTCCCAATCGATTTTTTGCAAGCTATTGACCGTTTCGAACGTGCTGTGGGCAGTAAGTCAATAGTGATTTCCTGAGACAACTAGTGGCACTCACCTTCAACTCTTTTGTACTTATTGGATAGCGCCCTCGGTCCTCTGTATGGTAGCTTCGAATTGTTGTATATTGACGCGAATTTCGGCCAAGTCAAATGCGCATTGTACGACTTCAGTGTCCAGAGCCTCTCTACCTCCTTGTCGGTCCACCTCACAAATTTCTTTTTTTGTGAACTGTTTGACCGGCACGGGATCGAACGTGAAGAATCCGTTTCCAAACAGTCGCCAGTACTATTAGACATGTTATCTGTGTAGAGTGGAATGGAGTCGTAGTAAGAAGACTTCAAGCTGCGGGATGTATTCTTTGTAGATTTGGAGAATAAGATGGTGACGAGTACCGGGAAATCCGTATGTATAGGCACGTTCTTCCTCGTGAGCGTAGCCTAGAGTGATTAGTTTTGTACATTCGTTTGACGGCGATGCTTGCTCACAATTCTTTACACAGTGCCAAGCAAATCGTTGGTCACTCGTGACTCGCTATCGCTCCTGACTCCACACCTCAAATGAAGCTCAGAAATCACCTAAATTGTCTGAGAGCGTGATCCCTGATTAGGCAGCCTTATCATTACAGCCGTAACCCCTGGGTGGGCCTTTCTATTGCTTACTGTCGGAATTGCATCTGCTTCGACGGTTGGCTTTTCGCTTAGCTGCCTGCTCAATTGCTGCACTGTGTCTGTTGGCTGATCAACATGTTTTCGAACCTGGTAATCGTGATTGAAAGTATAGTTGCACCATTAGTAGCACTTGTGGGTTGAGGCGAGTAGCGTCAGAGCTGTTCTAGCTCACAGGCTCTGATTCTGTTGCGTATTCGACGGGCGACTAGGGTTGTTTCGGGTGGGCCCGCGGAACTGTCTCTTCCGTCCCACCGATGGTCAAGGGGCAAGCCTTGAGCGACATCGTGTCTGTGCGAGACCCACTTACTCTACGTACGAGTCAAATTGAAGCTTGGGCCATTCCAGACTAGTCAGGCGCAGGAAAGCGTGAGTAGCAACCGCTTTTGGGTTTGCACAGTGGCTGTGGCTTACCCAATACAGTACTATCTTACGATGCTCGGCTTGGCCGGTGGGTCCTCGATCGTCTGGAACTCGCCTCGCCCGGGTTTCTTCTTGCCAGTGTTGATCTTTGCTTGTTCTGCCCTCGAACCTCGCCGCCTTGGGGATCAGTAGCAAACCAATCATCAAATTACTCAAGTCTAGGCATACGATCATAGCTGAAGCTATCACAAGAGTGTCGAAGATGGTGTCTTTGTAGATCCTTGAGATGTAAGCAGCTGTTTCGCTCGGTAGAGTCCGGCTAGAGCGGAAGTGCACAATTGGCCCAGCGAAGAAGAGGTCGGTGTCATCGCAGTACTACACAACACTGATGGACAGCATGGATTTCCATCACCATCTTCACCATCATTTTTACTGATTCTACGAAGGCTACGTAGTAGCGGCAGTCTGCATCCGTACACCTATCTCAACAGTACAAACCCGCACGGGCACTTTCCAGCGAAAGACGTCAACAACCAACAGCGCATAATGTATGTACAAGGAACAACAAACAAAAGCAGAAGCAATCATCTCGGGAGTGACCCTTAAGCGGTAAGCGAGGCTATAGCAGGCCCATGCTAGCCTGGACGAAATTCGGTTGAACCGGCATGAAGCTGGCCGTGTTGGTTCGTCGTAGAGGCTTCGGTATAGTGATAATTTTAAACAGCCGGGAGGGACACGGGGAAAAAAACATTTGATTTGAACTAGATAAAGTAATGCGCATTAACGCGCATTTAACCTTGATAATGTAAATTGTTCAGCAGAGACAAAGCAGAAGTGCGTAGATGCCGACCGTGAGAAAAGTCCAGATGAAAGAAAAATAGCTTTGGTAAAACTCGCGCGGAGTAAGCAGTCAGTTTCAAGATCCTAGTCGTCAACTCAGACTTCCGAAGCTCGGTCTTGGCTGATGATGACGACTCCCCCACATGATCAATAAAGCTCAACAACCCGAGATTAAATTGCACAAGCTTGTGGAAGCACACAGAGCAGTTGAATCTGTGCGCTGCACCAATAACACAGGCTTTGGTGGGAAGGCCCGAGATAGCATACGCGCCTGACTGTAAAAAGGAATATAAGTGACGACGCCGGTCTCATAGCTCAAAGGCAAGACCAGAAGACTGCAAAACCTTGATACTATCAACTTCTTCGGGGATTCAATCGGTTTATCGACGTTGAAAGGTGTGTGTATCCTGAACTGCGAAGCCCCTACACCACGTGAGGTACGTGTTCGCATCTAAATCAGCTTCAGTTGCGTTGTATCTCACTCCAACCCAGAGCGCCTCCCTCATGGATTCGGCTGGTTTTTCCTTTCCTCACTTCCACCAGCTGTGGAAGCCGAGCCAGCCGCTCACTAGAGCATCATGGCAACCCGACCCTCGATTGAGCGACGACGCTCAGGAAGCTCTGAAGAGAGCCATCCAACTGCTTGCCGAAGAGCACCTTGCCGTACCGCAACCGGGCGAAACGTTTCGGTCTTTAGACAACTTACTGGAACGATTTTGGTCCTTTGGATTCAGCCAAGGTCTACCATTCACACTGTTCGATCTCATCTTGGGGGTGCACTGCGCGCAGAGATGGACCACAAACTGCCCGTCACAGTATACGTTTTTGTATATGACTGACGGCGATGGCACTGTCACCTACACGCTGGTCTCAAGTAACCACACTCACAACCACCAACCCTTTGCGAACCCATTTCAAATGCCTCAAACCTACCGACCAAGGGCGCTAATCGGCCACTTTGACTGCTTTGGCAACATCATGGAGCACGGTGCCCCATTTTCGGAAACAAGTTGTGTTTCGACAGCTGGACATCACTATGCGGAACTCACCAAGGCGATGCATGACTTCAGTGATACCTTCAAGACAATGCTTCTGGATTTAGGAGACAAGATTGCCGCGTCCATCGACCGTCTTGAGTACTTGAATTTGGCAATGGAGCGTGGTGGAAGGCGCTATAGGGCTGTAAGCGCCCCCTCCCCTGTTCATTGCGTTCCCGAGGGATTAGGTTGTTCGTCCGTGGTAATGTATGATGCCCCGGCAGGGATGAACTTGGAAGAGGCGGCTGAGAAATCGAATTCCTGACCATGTGAGAATGTATGAACGTTGTAGATTAGGTTAACCAATATGTTGATGCTGCTTATTCTTCAAGCCGTCCGAAAGTGACGCAGCGCCCTAAACGCGCAAAATAAATACTTCTCATTCAATTCATGGCCTCTTAAAGACACAAACCCTCCAGAATGACCAAACCAACGTCTACCATTAGTGCTATTGATGCATCTTTGGGAAAAGTCCGCGAAAAGCAAGGTCTTTCACTCGGCTCGTTCACTGCGTCTCTCCTCGCAGGAGCGGCCACCTTCATCATCGACATTTGCCTCTTCCTACTACTCAAACCCCGTCTTCCCCATCTTGTGTAAGTATTAAACACCGCTTGTTCGATAATCGATTCCACCACTGACTCCCTGCTACGCAGAGACAACAGCGCATCCGTACGAAATCAAGCATCCTCATTTCCTTCCCAGCTCCAGTCATTGCTGCGCTCTGCTCTAGGGCCTCCAGACTCCTATTTCATCGAAAATATCGGAACAGACGCGTACTTTTTCCTCCGCTATGTCATTCTCAATCTCAGAATTTTTACGCCTCTCGCCATCCTCATTAATACGGTCCTCATCCCCCTCCATACCCTTCACGGTCGAAATAGCTCGGGTGGTATAGAGGGTCTTGACCGTCTCAGCTGGGCCAACATCCGGCCCACCTATACACACCGGTACTGGGCACACACTATGTTGGTTGTCGTTCTAGTTCTATACGTCTGTACAACGGTGTGGCTTGAGATGGGACAATTTGTGCGCTATAGACAACAGCAACTCAAGTCAAGACTGCACAGAAATCGCGTCTGTTCACGGACGGTGCTTTTTGCATCAATTGCGGCAGAGGACCTGGTGCCAGCACACCTAGAACGAGACTTTGGCTGGCTGCCTGGAGGCGTGTGTAATGTATGGATCAATCGTGATTGCCGCAAGCTAGTGGGTAAAGTCAGAGAGCATGTAAGGGCTGCGAAAAAGCTGGAGGCGGCTGAGACGGAACTGATCAGGAGGGCTTGCCGAGCAGCGGCAAGCGACCGTCGAGTGCGCGAGGCAGAGAGCGAGACTGCCAAAATGTCTATCGTGAAGCAAATTCTACAGAGCCAGAGGCGGGTGGTTCGGCGTCCGCTTCGCGTATGGGCGCCGTCCTTACCGCTGATTGGGGACATAGTCGAGGAGGTTGAGTTCTATCGATCTGCATATGTGCACTCAGCGGAGGAAGTTGAAGAAGAGCGCCGCAATATCGAAGCCGCGCCGCGCTCCAACTCGGCCTTCTTGCAGTTCGCCCAGCAACGCACAGCACATGTGGCTGCACAAGTGCTCCATCATCAGTCGCCAGCTAAGATGGTGCCTGTGTGCCTGGATGCTCCACCAGAAGATATAATCTGGGAGAATGTCAGTATAGAATGGTGGCAGGGTGTGGTGCGGTCCGTGTTGACGAAGCTCGCCATATCTGTGCTAATTGTTGTCTTCGCCATCCCGGTTGCGTGCACCAGCCTAATTTCCCAAATAACCTACCTAGCAGTCGCCATCCCAGGGCTCAGATGGCTGGATACCCTGTCAGACTGGTCACTTAGTGTCATACAAGGCGTAGTGCCACCAGTAATTCTGTTTTGCCTCATCCGCTGTCTTTCAGCTGTTCTCCGCGTCTGTGTACTAGCGCAAGGATTACCTACTCGCTCCGCTATCGATCTAGCAATCCAGAGATACTACTTCGGCTTTTTGTTCATC